CTCCAAGATGGCTCAACATAGGGCCAACATAGGCCAACTTGGGGCCAACAGACGCCAACATCGGCCCAACCTAGGCCAACATAGGCCTAACATAGGCCCAACCTAGGCCCAACATAGGCTCAACTTGGGCCCAAGATGTGCCCAACATAGACCACATGGGCGCAACTTGGCCCAACCTAGGGCCAAGATGCGCACCAGATAGCTTAACTTTGCTCAATATAGGCCCCACCAAGTCTCAAAGAAAGAGAGAGCGAGAGAGAGAGAGAGAGGACCCAGCCCTGCACATACCCGAACCCAAATAGGCCGGCGCCCGGCTGTCAGGCGTAAGCCTCATAAATATGTTGAACTATTCTGTGATGCCTGAGAATAAATCTATATATGGGCCGTGAGAATAAATCTATTGTATTATTAATGCTGAAAAAAAAATATATATATATATACACACACATATCTATGGGCCCTGACAAGCCACAGTCCCTGGAAGCAAACAGATGCCTCTTGCACGCTGTCCTCCCAGTCGGCCCTGCGAAGAAAGAGCGCAGCAAATCAGTGACTCGAGGACCAAATCAGTGACTTGTGGGAACCCTTTACTCCCAAGAAGCTACTAGTAACAAAGGGCATCGCTACTGGGAGCAAGGACGCTACTAGTAGCTCCTGGCATTACTACTAGTAACAAGAAGCTACTAGGAAAAAAGGGCATCGCTACTAGCTCAACATGTCGAGCTTCGCTGCATGCTGAGAAGCTGTCCCCTCAAAAATGCTGGCTGTGCACAAAAAGCGCGTTCGACCTAGGTCGGACCACTTGGCCGCCAAGCATCGTGGACTCCATCATCGTCTTGGAGTTGCCATTTCGGTACTCCTCAGGGCAGGGCTCAAGGGCTGAAGAACCCTTGATCCTTGGGCCATCTCAACAAGTAGGCAGACTCGTACCCTTCGGCAGGCATTGATAGTAATTTACCCTTGAGGGTTAACGGATTCAATGATGAATCGTCAGTGATTCACCGGTCAGGCGTGCGTTTGAGTCAACTCTTTGTGGAAATCTATTATATAAGTATATTATATAAAAATATATATATATATAGTATATATATATATAATAGAGAGAGAGAGAGAGTTGAAATAGCTGACAACGGTTCCTCTGTATTTTTGGTTGACTTCACTGCGAACAACACTAAACAGCCCTGTGCATCCTGTGCTTTGGGACCCATGTGGACATCGCAATATCACCCCAGGCCGCCACCTGCTGAAAATCGTCATCAAGCGGAGGTCGATATCCTGTCAGAATCCGAAGGATTTTTGTTGTGGGAGACTGACCAACCGAGTCAGGTTGTGAAAGAGAGTGGAAGACAAAGGAACCTACCGAAGTCTCGCAGAGTTGTGAATCCTGGCAACACACCGAAGCTGAAAATATCTCAGAGGCCTCTACAGTAGCAGGGTCCCCAAATCTTCCAGATCAAACATTTGCTGAGTCCGCCTGCTGCAGCATGGCCTAGGAGCCAAAAAGAGCCAGGAGCCAACAGACGACTGACATCTCACCAATGGATGGCCAAACAAAATTGATTCAGGAAAGAGGTGACATGACCATTTATTTAGGTGTGGATACAATATACAATAAATATATACTTGTTTTACTTAATTAATAATGAATGCAGATGAGACAAGTGGAATCATGATGTTTTATCCACTCTCAACTGAATGGCAGGCTGTTGTAGATGGAAACTGCCCTTGGAACCAGCTGTGAGCTTGGAGCAATATCCCTTGACAGCCCTTCATTCACTAGGTTCCAGTGCAACATATCTTCCTATGCAGAGTAATATCAACATCTACAAGACGCCCAAAGTAACACAATATTGAATTCGATCATTGAGCTGTTTGGTCATATTAGTTTGTATTGAATGACATGACTAGTCAAGAGTCTGAAGCCTGGCATTCATGGTGTGCACGAAACCTAAGCTCAATGGGTGTCTTGCTGTTATAGGGGAACAAAAACCTATCACAAGTCGTACCCACCATACCAAAGTCCCAGCGATCGTGTCTCACTCGTGTCCCCATCGAATGTACCAAAATGCCCAAGCAGTTGAGCACCAGGCCATTTCTCTGGCTGTAGCCGTTGTCCCGTCCATTGGATCGGCCATAACCACGGTCATATCGATCCGCCGGATCGGTGGAGCCTCTCGACCTCGGTGGATGCACCCGACGGGTTGATGCACCCGAGGCGTGTTTCGATGGAAGGCTTTTGCCCGATGTGAACTACCCAATGCCTCCCCCCGTTCGAGAACCCTTGGATGTTGCCGACCGTCACTTCGGAAGCTGCAGGTGGGAGCGAAGCCAAAGCCGAAGCAAATCCAATGGCAGAAGTGATACTACCCCCCCCAATGCAAATGGGACTAGAATGTGGACTGCACCATGCTGTGGAACATGCTGTAGCTGCGAGCTCACATGGTTTTCAGCTCCCAAACTTGAGATAAACCCAATTGACCTGAAGGACCCCTACCTCATGTACTGGTCAAATGCACGAACTGGTGTCAAAAACACCAAGGAGTTCTTGACACTGAGTTGTGAACGGTTGTGAA